TCGGCGAGTGCTGGGTGGGGTGTGATAACGGGCACAGTCATGAAACAATCCACTTGATCCTTGAGACCTGTTAACGGGTGGCATAAATGTTCCAAATATTTCCCAAGATTTATGGGATTTGTTTTTAAATCGGTATCTTTCTTAAGTACAGCCGTGAAATCGCACGACATATAGTCGCCAGACGTGCACTTTGTTAGCCGTATTGAATCTTTTGCCACTTCAAACTGAGGCACACCGGCCAACAATCTGACCACTTCTGCCTCAATCATATCGCGTTCGTAGGCTTTCTGTTTGTCGGCGGAGTTCTTGTCAAAGAGCGCCCGATTCAATGCGTTCGTCGATTCAATGTCTTTGTAAATGCCGGCCCAGTCTTGCATCGGAGCGTTTTCGTACGGCGCCAGACTGTACGCCGGCTGTAAGGTATACTCAAGCGCCTCAAATGGTAGATAATTTTTAATGGAAATGCTGAATTTCATGGTATATTCAGTGGCCATGCATTTGCCGTTAGACATGATGAGTCCGGGCCGACACACACAGTAGTGTTCAGGCTTTTCATTCACAAGTATGACGTCTTTGTTAGGATTGCAGTCGGCGTTAATGCGATTGCACGCGAGGTCACGGTTACGGAATTTGCATACGGGTTGACACAACTTTCCTTTCGCTTCCTGTATAGTGCCGGGCGGACACACGCACTCATGCGGATGATCCGTAGCACTCTTTGGGTCAGTCAATCTGCACAGGGCTTGTATACCGTTGCACTCCGTCCGTCCGGCGCCTCCCTGTCCGCACACGCCCTGCAATACACACGACCTCTTGTCCGGGCTTTGAACGTACGGCGCGTCGCACAGGCAATACCGGCGTCCGGTAGCGTCCGGTTTGTCCAGTTTGGTCGCACTGCCTCCCAAACACGAACCACCTTTCTCATCTGACAATTAATTGTGAACGAATTGTTAATATTATATAAAGCATGTTAGAACAAGTAGTGTTAACCAAATGCTTACCGCGTATTTCGCACTGTTTCATATCTGAAGTCCAATCCCAACCATCAAAGCAACGATGACTATCATCTTTGGCTCCATCGCAAAAACAATTTGCAATTCCGTTACATTTAGTACACGGTATTGTGGGGGTACAGGTGTCGCCACTTTGTTTGTACATCTGTGTATTACAGCCACACTTATAGCCCCTGACGTACGTGTTATGATCGCCATCTTTCTCGTCCACGTCGTCGTTCTCGCACTTGTGTTGACACGTGTGAAATGCCGGTGACTCGCACTTTCGCGATGTACAGCTGACCGACCGTCCGCTTCCTAATTATGGTTAATAATTAATATATTTTCTATATGACGATTGGATTAACTTTAATCTATTTAATTAATTAAATAGTTGTAGATTGCATATAATAATAAATTATTATTAATTTTAATTATTAATTGAATTTATTAAATAAATGCAATTTTCTTATACGTGTCTATTAAAATTGTTAATAGAATCAGTTTAATTACGCTTACCATGTGCCTCAAACCCTGGGGGACATCTGCACGTGTATAGGATGGGGCTAATGAAATCATGTTCGCACATGGCCCGATCGTCGTCGCAGGGCTTCTCGTTAACTAATTTGGCAATCTTTCTGTCGGCGACTTTGCAAATGTCAATCTTAGTGGTCACTCCACTCACCGGGTCTTTATAGTAGCCCTCTTTGGCCACACACGTGGCGTCTTCTGCCGGTCTGTTTTCTGGCGGTTCCACACATTTCTCGCTAACTTTATTACACCCTTTGGTGAAACATTTGGGCAGATTTTTACAGCTATTTTTGAGAATTAAAGACATTGTTATAACAACTAATATACAGTATGTTTTGTAGTTTAAATACTCACTCCATTACGTCGTCGCGCGAATCCCAATAAAATTGCTCAATTTTAGGACACGTGCACTCAAATCGGTCATTTGATGAATCTATTTTACATGTGCCTCGTTTAGGATCACTCGCACAATAATCGTCGCCTTTTTTATTTGGAGAATGCTATTCAATTTTATGGTTGAAATGTAATACACAATTAGTTTCAATTTTAATATAATGGTGTTATCATAAAGATTTTTATTTATTAAGTTGTTGATTCAAAAATAATTTATATAAATTGTATATAATAATTCATGCAAACTTACCGTGTATGTATTTGTGCAATAATTAACTCGTTCGCATTTATTACCATAAAATAATCTACGGTCGCATTCGCAATAATATGGTAACTCTGGATGTTCCTTAACAAATCGTTTGCACACTCCATTCCCATCTTTTGTGGCACAATTAATTAGGGAATGTGTGTCGGGTTCAGCGCACGGGTCGTTGAGTGCGAACTGATCGATTGTAAACAACTCTTTGTCAAGTGTATTGTAAGTGACTTTAATGCCAAACTTCCAGGCCGTTCCGGCCGGCACTTTGATCTTTAATTTACCATCAAATGTAGTGACCGCCTATTATTATAAACATGTTAAAAATGTAATGATCATTATTAATGCATGATTAAATATAAGTTACGTTTTGAATGATTTTGCTGTCGCCGATCACAGTGTCTACAGCCGACGATTCCTGTGTCTTGCCGTCAAACGTCACGAATTGAACGGCAAATCCTGTGAAGTCTTTTGACGTTAATTTAATCCATACGTCCACCGAATCGGTTGTCTTTTTGATCCATTGACTGACCAGATATACGGCCACATCTGACTGTTGTGTTGCTGTAATAATTCAACATATTTTATAAGTTTAATATGATTAGTTAAATAAATAATTTATAAAACGTGTGTATATTTTTCCAACTGTGATTAGTTAATAGTAATTGATGGCTTACCTTTAAAAGCTACAAGATTGCCTTTATGATTCCAATTTGAGCTTGGTCCATTAAATTGTTTAAATATTTTTTCAAATGTAGCATCAGGGTCAACTTGTGGTGTAGGGGGTGTTGTGGGCGTTGGATTAATTAACGGTATATATGCAAGATATTCGCTAATTGGATCGGTTGTGTGACCGCTCGGTATATTAATAGCCATTCTATTGGCCGGTTTAGTCATTACTGTTTTGAACACAATTGTAAAGTCTTTCTCAATAACTGGTGTTAAGTGTGACAGACATATAGACTGTTGATTAAAGTCTTCACCCGAATACCGTCCAAATATATACCCCGATGTTTGGTCTTTGTATGAAACGACTACTTTTGAGTCCGCGTTTGCGAAGTATTTAAATGTATAGCAATAGTCACGAGTGGTGTCGTAGTTATTGAATGTTTGCGTCAATTTATCGCCCGATATCTCCGACACGTATAAAGGAAATATATCTTTGTATTTAACATCATGTGTTAATTGGGGCTCGAATTCATTTGACCACTTGATTATATTAGTATCAAGTGTGAAGAATTCGCACCCTGGTGTTTTTCCACTTAAACCACACGATATCGTTTTACTATTGTAGGTTACTTTACTTAAACATCTAGGTGCGAAAAACATTTATTAATAATATTTATAAATATTTAATAATTGATTATGTTAAAATACGATATAGTGTACTAAAAATATGGTAATTTATATATAATATATTTTGCAAATTCTTTTACCTGTGATTAGCACTATCCATTTTATATTCGTTAGGACAATAGCAATTATAAGCTGTCCCAGTTGGTTGTTGTTCACAATTGGTCACATCATTAAATATATCCATTGCATATCGCGGTGAAGCATCGCACGTTTGCCTCGCCTATAAATTTAGTGCAAACATATGTTAATGAATATTATTTTGTTTAATAAAAATATTAATATATTTATTAATTACCACGACTTCAACGCATCGTCGCAGCTCACAATCCTTGCCAAAATGTGCGCTATCGCATGTGCACACGTAGTTTTCTGGCGAATATTCGCGTATATCGGGTAAAACCGGTGCCGTACAAGTTCCCATATTTGAGCAAACGTTTCGGACTTTTTTATCGCACGGATCACCGATTGATACGTCAGTTACCGCTAAGTCTACAGTCTTAGGGGTAGTGTCGGCGTTGGTTAACGTGAATTTGATGACAAGTTTGAAATATTGGATTTTATTGTATTGAGTGATTTGTAGGGATTGTTCGATGTCTTTGTCGGCCACAAACGCGACGCGAGATAATTGCAGTAAAGACATGTCTTGTGTGTCCCAAAGTATTCCCGTTTCGATTTTCACGGCATTCATATTCGCCGCTAATATCTTGTCGATAGATATCCGCGGTTTTAACGGATCGTTAATTTTGGGATTGAATTCAATCCAATTGCTCATTAAATATATGGGTATTTCGGTAGTAGTTTTCGGCGGAATTGTAACTGAAATAAATTTAATTTTAAAATATTAATCCAATTTTTGTACACAAATTAAACCATTTATAAATTTGATAATAACAATCTATATTCCCCGTATGCCTAACTTACGGGGAACGAAGAAAGGGGAGGAAAAATGAAATTAGCAAAAGTTGCAGGTCTAGCTGGGATGCCATATTAAATTCACACTTTAAAAGAAATTGAATGTAAGGGAGGCAAAGATTAGGAGAGAAAGAGAAGGCCAAATGATCATATAAATTACAATTTTGTTACCGAATTTAAATTAAATCTAATTTTATCATGTAAATAATATTGATTAATTACTTGTATTGCTTTTAAATTTTGTTCCATCTAATGTCAATTTATTGTCTCCAAACAGGTATTCATTTCTCCACCGATCGCTTGACTTCAAACCGGCGATCAGTTTCATATTCATTGTGCCAATCAATACGGACTCTACACTCCACGTAAACTTTGTTAACGAAATCGCATCGTATTTGTCGGCCACAGATGTGATGGTCAAGAAGAAGTTGCTAGCTGGTTTGTACATAAAGTCTCGTACACAAAACTTCACAATATGATTTCCCTGTAGTAATTTTAAGTCAACTAATTTTTTTACTGTTAACCCTACTTGATAGTTAACTGTTATACTATGTGTCGGATTTACGAGATTGTAATCTATTGTAGAGCATATGTCCACTCTATCGGTACTAATGTCAGTGAATTCATAGCTTATTTCATTGGATGCATCGGACGGATAGTAATCGGTCCCAACCTGTGTCCAGCCTCTATCCAATTTAATCGCAGCTTCTTTACACACTTTGGCAGTCCTTTAATGTGTAAAAATTAACAATGAATATTTTATAAAATGATTATATATAATCTTGATAAAATTTAGAATTATAAGTAATAAAGTAGAGTTATATCAAACGTATTTACTTGTCCCAGTTTAATTCATTTAAATGGGCTGGGTTTTGACAAACACATCGGTACACTTTAAGCTTGTCGCCCGCATCTCCGACCAAATGTGTTGAGCCCTCACGATCGCACGCCTTTGACGCCACACTAGTGTCGCATACTATTTGACCAGATTTACCCGTCTATTATTTAAAACAATAAATTATTAATATATTTATGTTTATATTTTGATTCATGTTATATTTACATCGGTTCTAACCATACAATAGTCGACTTTCTCGCACCGGTCGCCACTATAGCCGTACAAACACGGACACACATTGGGTGCGCTCGACACGGCTTTATTCGTGCATTTATTGCCTTTACCACGACCAATTTCCTCGCACTCGGTTTTGGGCACCTGACACGGGTCGCCAAATGTGATCAGTTCTATCTGCGCCTCCAGCGAACCCGGGATCAACTCGTGGGCCGAGTACTCGATCTCAAACATGAACTTAACGTATTTGGTGTCCGGTATTTCATCCATTACGAACGAGTAGAGCCAAGTGCTGGGCGATACCGGTGGTTGATTTGGATCATGCACATCTTTTTTGACGTCGATTATGCTTACATCGGTACAATGAGCAAGGTCATCGCACACCTTTGGCTTAATATTGAACGCGCTGAACGCTCTGGAATCTTTAAATGTCAACCTATATTGCCCAGGTCGTTTGCGTGTGGCCAGATTCTTGTCGTATTTTATCCAATGGGTAATTAGATGAGCGTTGGCCGTGCGTTCATCTTCTGGTGTCACTATATATTTAGGTTAATAAATATTAATTTTATTGATCACGATGTATTGATTTGACCTGGCGTGATTATTGTCAACTGTGAGATTACCATACCTAAAATTGTAAATTTATTTTTATCGGCACTTATAGGTCCATTAGGGATCACTACGGGCCAGTTGATGAATGGTGATGGGCCAGTGTATACAGTTGAATCATAGTAATTTCTAAGTGTACCCTGTTTGAATAGGTCGGTCCACGCGGTTGACGGCGTCGCAATAATTCTTTTGAAATTAATATACAATTCGTTTGCTTTTGCGGTCAACTTCTTAATAGAAATGTAAACGTAGGGTATGTCGGACTGAGTAGTGTATGACCGGCCCCTCAACGCTAACAGATCTTTAAGACATACAGTACTCGTCTCCGCATTCAAACCATTAGTCGTTATTTTAGGCTTAATGGACAGTAGAATGTTATGGTCCCTGGTGAAATCCTCTTTGGACAGCAGGTATTGCAAATTAATGACCACTTCCTTTCTGGCCAAATATGTTAACTCAAAGCACGTGTCGTCTATATTCAAATCGTTGACCTGAGTATAGAACCCGTTCTCATCTTTTGTAAACCCTTTCGCATTCTCGTCCTGAAAACACTCGACACCCGGGTTTCGAATATCACTAATTGGGTCGCCTCTGTATATACAGTATATGTTATATATTAGAAAAACATATGGATATTGTTTTAGTGAATAATATTTAACCGAAGTTAATAGCGGGCAATGGTTTCTAATTAATTCTATATTATGACATGTGTAATTAATATTGAATTAAATGGTCTGAGTAAATTGTTAATCTAAGATAGAATCATTGTAATAACAATTGAACTTATGTTGTATAGGATAGATTAGTTGATTGAGCTTACATTTTGCATTTAGTAGGATCAATCGGTCCCGTCATTGTGACCATAGTAGCGCGCGAAGAGTTGCCGCGTTCCAAATACATTTCACTGGCCATATTCAACCTGGTCATTGTTTTCGATGTAGACTGTGTCTCATACTCCACTGTTAATTAGTTATAAACAATAAACATTATAAATATAAATTATGAATATTTGTCATTCATATTGTAAATAAAATAATATCTAGAATAAATTTCGTATATAATATTAAAACTATTGGTCATAGAATCATTGCATACATGTAATGTCTTTCAACGCCACCACCGAGTTTGAGAAAAAAGCTAGCTCCAAAAGAAAATCTTTCAACTGGTCATATGTTAAAAGGTACTGTCGGGGCAGCCATTGGTCGCGGAAACCGAGTACGTAATCCTGGCTAATGTAATCGCTGTAATCCTTGCCGATTGAGACTTTAATTTTGGGCAAATCTGCATCTTCATACCCCCAAAACTGTGAATACAAACATGGTGTATTAATACAATATCATTACTATTATATTCTAATTTAATTAGTAAACTACTATACAATATATTATATTGTATATTGGGTCAAAAGTTTTGACTCAAAACAAATGTTTTATTAGTTAGAAATAATTATTATATACTTAACATATGCTGTAAGTAAATTATGATTAAGTACGGACTCATAAATATTCAAAAAATTGCAATAATATATACCTTAAAACTAAGAATAAATCGATTGCTCGCTTTCACGTCCGGTCTGTCGAGAAAATCTTTCTTGAATTTAAGCGAAGATTCTTTTCCTTTAAGGTAAATGAATTGACTCGCTTTGGGGACCAGAATATCTTGGTGATCCTGGTACGGCCAGTTTATATAACCTTTGGACCTCTCTTTGTCTATCACGTTCCAATTATTAGGGTTAACTAGAATTGAAATGTTTATATTATTTAATAACGTGTTTTATGTAATTCTTTTATGGTTAATTAATTTTTTATGTTTTAACTTGGTTATATTAGTAATAAAATGTTTTTGATAGATTTTTGGTCAGTATTACTTTACTAAATGCATTGTATTCTTTGTCAACATTATTAAATTTTATATAATTATAGTAATATAAGTTTTAAAAATATTTATAATTTAATTAATTTTTTGTTACATTATTAAAGTACTAGAATTAATCTTTGTTAAAATCATTTTACACTGAACTATATATTTAATATAATTACAACTACAGAATGCAATTATAACAAAAAAACTGAGATAATTTTTTTTGCTATTGATTAAGAGCAATGTTACAGTTTATGTATAATATAATCGGTAACAAACAAAATGGCATTAATACTAATTCGATTGATATCACAGTAAGAAATACTTTTAGTTTTTATAAAATAACAATTATTTCACTTTTTATCCATATATGTTAAGTGGTTCACAAGGCATTCAATATACGCCCCTATTCTACGCACTGATAAAGTATCCNTTAGTTTTTATAAAATAACAATTATTTCACTTTTTATCCATATATGTTAAGTGGTTCACAAGGCATTCAATATACGCCCCTATTCTACGCACTGATAAAGTATCCTTGATTATATTAAATATACATTCAGTTTTGTCGGCCATTTTGTATAATAATTATTTCTACTTAATTTAGTAATTTAATAATTTAATAAAAATTTATTTAAATAGTTTATAAAAATATACATTCTATGTTATAAAGAAAATAATATTATTAAATTATAAAACTAACAGTAAATGTTGATATTTCAACTGATTATGATCTATGGTTTATTACCTGGACATTTGAAAATAAATATTCTACTTAATTTATAGTGTAAAATTTATTTGTTAAGTACAATATATTATAATAAGGAAGTTAAGAATAAAATTATTATAAATAAGAATAATAATAAATAACAATCACAATTACATAATATATTATATCCCTATTATAGATTGCTATCATTATTTAAATATGTTGTGCTTAATTAAATAAATGTCATCTAGCCAAAATAAACACAATTTATATTGAATTAAATAAAAATAATAAATATTTTACCAGATTGACTCGATGTCCTTTGTATTGAATAACATATTACTAAAATTAATGGCAATAATTCGCAAATTAAGGCCATATTTTAAAATATTTTACAAATAGTTTACTAATATTTATAATAATAAATAAATTAATGAAATGAACTAAAAAATTATGAATAAATAAATTTATATCGATGAATTGGTGGCCAATTTAATCCATTATAATAATTAATAATACACTTTATAATGAAAATAAAATTCTTTATTTCGTTTTGATATTCACTTGAATTGAGAGAAATAAAAACTAATTGAATGACAAAAATACGTTTGATTTATATTTTTAACGCAAAACTTATAATTTTATTATCATTTCAAGTGTTAGGCTCTCTTTCTCTCTCTCTCCCCTCCGTCTCTCTCTTCCCTCTCCCATTCTCTCTCCTATGCATTGAGTCTCTCTCTCTCTCTCTCTCTCTCTCTCTCTATAAAAACAAATCCCATAAATCTTGGGAAATATTTGGAACATTTATGCCACCCGTTAACAGGTCTCAAGGATCAAGTGGATTGTTTCATGACTGTGCCCGTTATCACACCCCACCCAGCACTCGCCGATCCAGAACGTTTACTATTTAAAACCAATGAGGTCAAACAAACTCAATTGGGAGTGCACAAGGCGAGTTTTATTTTATTACTATTTTATTTACTA